GTACAGACTTGGGGCCAACAATAATCCTCCCGTAATTAAGGAGGGGAAGGGATTTTATGAAGAGGTTGTGAGTAACCTTTGTTCTCTCTGGCGCTTCTCCCCTCTTCTGGGTATAGCCCTAGTGTCAGCCTCCAGCGGTTTTCAATGTCCTGTCTTGAATATCCCCCTAACGGCATGAACGCCTCTACAAAATCGAACTAAAAATACTCAAAGACTGAAATCCTTAGCCAAATTCGATTTCGATTTCAAGGTAATGATTCAAAATCTGGAACAAATTTCAGATAGTCGAACGCTTCCTGCGCCATGTGGCTAAATTGACGGCAGAGATGGAGCCATTACGGGCGTGGTCGTCCACCTTCACCGTTTCAAAGAAACCCGATCAGGTTTTGTTTCACATCACATTATCAATTGTCTTGATTGATTGGTTATTGAGTGAGTGTGAACAAATACGTGTACTGTAGGTGCGGAAGATGATCAGCGTCTGTCAGGAAAAGCTGCTACAAATCAAAGATCAAGAGGCGAAAGTGAATCGTCTACAATTGGAATTGGAACACATGCATCTCAGTTCAGATCTCTCGGCGGCACAGATGAAAAAAGCTAATGACGCTTTCGAGAAATTCGCTAAGGCAGGTTTTGATTGTTTTGAATTTCTGATTCAGATGGATTATTGGAAACTTTGTCAACATACGTGAAACGCTGCTTATTGCTGCGAGCGGTTGCGAAGCGGTCAAGGTAATCGGACAGCGTCCGAAACATGGAAAATGAAACAAACTTCTGCGCACTGAGAGCACGGCATCTATCTTGACAGCGCCCTTGGCACGCGCGCTTACGATCCAAAAGCTATCTAAATGAACATCACGTTAAATTGGTCGAAGGCCTGGATAGAAGATTTACAAACGACTTTTTCTATACTATGTTAAATTAGGATAGGATAATTATTAACTTTTTTCAAGCACGAATTACTTTTTCAGGGTTGGGCGCGAATTGTGACGAAGATCAGCGAAGCAATGAACGTGCTGACGGGACATGACGAAACTGATGAGGAGGCGTTGGTGGCCAAAGGAATCGAGCAGTGGATTCGAAGGCTGTGATAAGTGGGTTATCCTATGGTCGAACTGAACTTAAAGACACATCACGTGATTGCTTTGATATGGGTTATGCCACGCTGGGCGCACGCGCGAGAGTGTTTTTTCTTTGGTCAACCCCTCATGCTATGATACGATACGGTGGAGAGAAGGCCGACTAATGAGAATTACGCAAGGCTCCGCCCACATGATTGGCGCATGTTGTTTCAAGGGTTCATAGCAGTTTGTTTGCTTTCCTTTCTGACACAGTAGGCCCCATCTAGGGTATCGCTGAAAATACCTTCGAAAAAAGAGTTTTAGAAAGGGAGACGCGGTTGCGGCAAAGACTGGGACTGTTCTGCGTAATGCTTAGGAATAGCTTTTCAGGGATTTATCGGCTCACTCTTAAGACTTTATGAGTTTGCTGTGATTTGTATTCAAATCATGTTCGTCTTATCCGAGCCTGACCTATAGCTTTTTTAGATTTTTAGATAGCGAAAATTATGTAAAAATATCAAATAACAAAGCTTCGATTCAGAGTCTTGTCCGAGCTGATAAAGTTGACTAGAGAGGACCGTACTAAACGGCTGCTGAAATTACACCAACAACTCCAAATTCAGGTGAGGAATGGGGTCCGCTGCAAAATGGATTACTGTAGCTACTAAAAATCGAGCAAAATTTTCAGGACAACAATTTATCTTTTATCGAGAAAGATCCGTTGAAAAAAAGCGATCCTGAAAAAAGGATTGGACATTGTCGAAAACGAATGAGCACTATGTCGGAGGTAATTCCTCAGTTTATCAATCGTTTGATTTTTGCATACTGACCTCTGTTTCCTGGAGGAGACCGAGCCGACGTCGACATTAACGTCAAAAGCTGAAGAGGATCTGAATCGGGAACTCGAAGGCGACTGGTGTACGGTAGGCGACGTGGACTCGCTCGACAAAGAGGTGCAACGAGCTGAGCGAGCAGTAGAGACGGCTCGCAACGCAACATGAGCAGTGAGACCGTGGAAAAAGCGGAGACGAGGTAAAATATTCCCGAAAGAGTATATGAATTATGCATTATAGTACTAGCGCAGTACTGAATATCTGAATATTTGACGATTTTTTTCAGAAAAGCCGAAAATGAAGGAGCGACGGCGGGCCACTGCCGCTGCGCTGGATAAGATGAAAGCGGCCGAGGATGGGCTGAACAGGTACCGTTGCACATTACTGATTGATTAGCGATTCAACTTAATGAATAATGCAATGAATAAATAAAATAATAATGATAATGCAATGGAACACATGCTTTATCGATTGAATGGACTTCAGTTCGCGTCGTCGTTAGAGGCGACAAGCAGCAGCGACATATCGCTGAGCGGTGCGATTATCGAACTGCGGAAGTCACGTGATCGTTTGGCCTCGTACGAGACTCTGAAAAAAGAGGCCGAACGTGCTGCTGAGAAGATGCTCGCATTAGACGACAACGTGCCCCAAACGGTATGCTCATAGCCTGTCCATATTTTGTTACCTACTTATTGGTAAATTCGGATGGGCGCGTTGTGGCTAGAGGGTGTACTTCCTGTACAACCCAAGAGAATAACTAGGCTAGGATTATAAATTTGGTAATTCATACATAGCTGCTCGGCTGGCGATGGTATAGCGCGGTAGAGGTAGTATATACTATGCGTCTAGAAGGAGTGGATGGACAGTATAGCAATCAACGTACGTAAAGGAACGAGGCAACAGATAACAGTCAAAAGTGGTAGCAAATTTGGTAACGAAAGAAATATGTAAAGTACGAAAACAACCCAAAAATAGGTGTGTTTGAGATTTTACCAAAATGTGGTAGCATCAGTCGATGCTTTTGTTGGTTTAGTCTTCAACA